ACGGTAGTCCTCAGTTCCCTCCTGAGGCCACCCACCCGTACCTGAAGGTCCTTCGAGTGGCTGGTGACCGGGAACGGCAGGAGGAGGAGCCCGAGCTGGAGCGGCTGCGGGAACAGAGCTGCCAGCTGGCCTTGCTTGGTGGGCTCTGGTAGGGGCAGTGGTCAGAGCGAGGGGGGCTGACTCCTGAGTCCTCTTCCTCGTCGTCCTCCTCTTCCTCTTCCAGGAGGAAGCTGCTCTCACCACTGCTGCTGCTGCTGTCTTCAAAAACAGTGTCATATTCGGGGCTCTTGCAGGAGGCCAGGTCTTCATCCTCCAGGGCGGTCTCCAGGAGCCCAAAGTGCTTGGTGAGGCTGGCACGGATCTCATGGTCTCTCAGCAGCAGACTGTCCTTGGGGAGTGCAACTGCATCACAGCTTCTGTTTTCCTCCCTCCCAGAGGCCTGTGCCTCAGCCTCAGGGGCACCTTGCTGGGGCCAGTCCTCAAGGTGGACCCCAGACGGCTCCCAGGACCTCAGCACCTTCCTCTGCAGGGCGCTGTCTGGCTTGAGCACCTGGCAGTAGTCGTGGTCTCCAAAGCAACAGGAGAAGGGACGCTTCTGACCCGCCTGGGAGGCTGGCTGGGCTGCGGCATGCCGCAGATGAGACAGGAGCTCACTCCGCTCCGGGTGCTTCTTTGGCAGCTTGTGGGCCACCCCTGCGGCAGCCCCGAGCTGGAGGCTCTCTGGGGTGGGGAGGCTGGGAGCTATGCCTTTGCCTGGGCTGTGCTTGATGTTCGGCTTGAAGGGGTCCTCCTCTGTGGGCTTGTAGGGAGGCGTGGTGGGTGGGGTGAGTCCTACGCGTGCAAGAGGAGAAACACGTGAGGTGGAGGCAGATCACTTCTCCAAGAGACACTGAAACCCTAGTTTGGGATGGCAAAGTGTGTCCCCGCTCCCCTAACCCGATGGAGGGCAGGCATGGCTAACTCATCACTGTACTGATGGCTCGGCCTAGACGTGGCCTGGGCTCCTCACTCAGTCCATCATCAATTCTTCGGAGCTGGCATGTCATGAAACCCATTTGCCTTCCTTTCTGTAGCCTGGCAATGGTAGCTGAAGCCTCCAGGTTATCCAAGATGTATCTCTCCCTGTTCCACCATCCAGTCATTCAGCAAGCCCTCCCAACTGCCTCTGATGTCTCCCAAGGCAGAAAGCGAACAGGCAACACAGAAAACCTCCCACCTGGATTTGATCACCAGTGTCCTTAGTGCTCCTGTATCTGACCTTGGCCTCCATCCTCCCCATGCACCACAGGGAACCTGCTAAAATGCCACAGATTGCTTCCTCTCTGGGGCCCCTGAAGCCTACAGGATGAAGACCAAAGCCCTCAGCCTGGCATTCCTCTCAGCCTTTTGGGGCTGCTCTTTCCTGATCCCCCAGTTTTGCCATGTCACAATGCCAGGTGACCGGTCTCTTCGGGTGCACCTGTACTTCCACTCCTCTGTGCCTTAACTCATGTCAATTCTGCCTCCAGGGACACCCTTCCCTTTCATTTCTCCAATTCCTACTCATCCTGCAAGCCGAGTTCAAATGCCCCTTGCTCTGGGTGCCCTGCAAATCTGCCCAGGCCCCACTTCTGCCCCCCCCCCCCCCCCGCCTCTGTGCTCCCAGAGCTCTTGCACACACTTTGGATCTAGTGTAAATGGAACAGTACTCGTTATGGTGTGAGTCTGTCTCCCACATAAGACTGCAGGCTCCTGCAGGGGAAGACACATGGCTCTTTCTTTTCTGACCCCGACGTTAGCTCTTCAGTTGTTGGCAGCTGAAGAGCTGAGCCAGGGCCTGGCTCTCCTCCTTGGAACACCCTCATTGTGTATCTTAAGACCCAGTGCAGCCTGTGACGCAGTGGCAGGGAGGGCTCCATGGGGTACCCTTCACTGCTCAAGAGGCTGCTCAGTGTGGGGGACTCATTGCCGGGGGGTTGTGCCAGCTCCTCCAAAGGCACCCCACAGCTGAGCCCCTGGCTCACCTGCTGTGCCACAGAGCTCCACCGTCACGGTCTGCTCAAAGCATTTCTTGCCAAAAGGAGGGTCACTGGTGGGGGCGGGGAGGACAGAAAGGAAAGAGGCCGGTCAGCAGCAGGCCCCACCTCCCCGAGCACATGAAGGGGGCAAGGGGACGCCACGACAGACCCTAGTTCTGCTGCCCATGGGAGTGAGGCCTAGGGAGAACTTGCCGGGGACCCAGCCCCCCATCCTGGCTTTTAGAGGAATTCAAAGCTGCATAGCTCCTTTAGGAGATGGAAGAGAGATCTACAGAGAGTGGGGAGAGGCCAAGCAGTCAGCCTCCTTATATACAGAGCATCATCAGCTTTTCCCCATGGAGAAAAGAATTTCTTCCCTGGTCCTGGAGAGGACGGCTTATGATATGGCCTAAGGCCTGATTCCCCATTCTTCCCTGGGCCTGGAGAGATCAACTGCTAAAAACAAACTCCCTTCTAAGAGAGCCCAGCTCCTGAGGGCCCCACAGGACAATGAGGGCATGGGTGTGGGGACAGGGCCAGGCTCAGGGGCTGATGAACCACCCAGCCCCCTGACATGCACGCCCAACAGGACAAGGTATCATAGAATAATAAACCAGGAATTTCCAAAAATCTACCTTTGTGACAAGGTCAGCATGAGGCACCTGGGAGAGTCTGAAAAGAAGACAAAGAAAGAAAAAAATTAAAATTCCTCAATATGGCATTGCTAGCCGATGTTTCCCTCTGGAGGGAACCCCCAACTTCCATTGGTACCGAGCACAGCTCAATATCGGGCATGTGACCTTTCAAAAGCCTCTGCCATTTTTAGAGAAGGGCAGAACAACTCAAAGCCACCTTCATGCCCAGGGTCTCAGCAACATTTACGGGTGGCGGACCTACTGGATTTTGCAGGAAGAGCAGACGGGTACAAGGACAACCCCTTCTGGCCACACAGTGTAGCACAGTGGGAAAGAGCTGGCTCCTAAGGCCAGATGCTGTGGGCCCTTCCACAGAGGGATGGATGCAGGACTAACTAGCTGAAGGGATCACGAGATATCTATGTGCCTCCATTTCTGTGTCTTAAAAATGGAGATTATAACAGAACCTACCACCCAGGCTTCCTGTGAGAAGTCAATGGGGAGAACCTATGTTAGACGAGGGCCTAGCACAGTAAATACACAATAGATAACTCGTTATTATCACCACTATTGTTGCCACATAAAATTCACCTTTATTGTGGAGCTGAATTTATAGACATACCTTTCTGTCACATCATCTCTCAGGAAATTTTCTTTAGAGCACTTATCACAATATGTAATTATCTTCCTTTTTTGCTTACTTCTTGAATCGCCCATCTCCCCCATTGAAAAACCCCATCAAGTCAGGCATCTCATGCTCCGTGTTCATTAAGTGGTACCTGGCCCACGTATGATGAAAAACTCAAGAGATATATGGGTGATTCCTGAAGACCCACCCAACTAGCCCATTGTACAGAAAGGGAAGTTGAGGGCCAGAGAGGGGAAGGGACTTGCCCAACGCAGGGCTCCTGGCTCCCAGTATAGTGGGGTATGTCACAGCCCATCCCTGCACCCTCACTTGCAGACCACCATCTCCAACTACCTCTGGAAGGGAGCCGCGGGCACCTGGGGTCCTCATCCGTGTCCCCACACCCACTCTCACAGGGGCTCTCCAGAGCTGGGATCTGGGGTCCCCGGAGTTGCTGCTGGTCTTGGCCACTGTCCTCATCTGTGGGGCTGCCCAGCTCCCCCTCGGTGTCATAGGCCTCGGGAACCAGGCCCAGTGAGGCCAGAGATCCTTGGGGCTCCATGGAGACCAGCGATTCATCGGTGAATGTCAGCCAGGGACCCAGCTCGGGGTTCAGTCTCCTGGAGCGCCGCACGGGGCACACCGAGCTCTCCAGTTTCCTCCCCAGCTTGGTCCACGGCAAGCCTCGGCCTGGCCTTTTCCGACCCCATTCCTCCTCCTCCTCTTCCTCCTCTTCTTTGTCTTCTTCCTCTTCATCTTCCTCCTCTTGCTGCAGCCTGGCTGACCGGCTGACGTGCCCTTTTACCTCCAGCCGCAGTGGGCGCAGGCTGGGTCTGGGCCCGGTGCTCTCGGGCGAAGCTGCTATCCTAACCTCTTCCACCAGAGATGGGTGGCCAGGGGAGGCCTGGTTGTCTTTGGGCCTGGGCCGGGGAGTGAGGGAGGCATAGACCGGCGTGGCCAGGCGGTAGGGTTTGCTGACATCACAGAGGACATCTTGAGCCAGAAGTTCCCTCAGAATGGAGAACTCAGCCCAGGAGGCTTTGGAAGGGTGCTGGGGCCGGGCCCAGGGTCTGACCTGCTTGGAGGGGTTGCTGCAGGGCTGAGGGGTTGGCTCTGCGGCCTGTGGGGGTAGCTTCCTCTGGGGGAGGCAGTAGGTGTGCATGTAGCGAATGAGCTGCACCACTGCCTGCATGTCCTCTGGTGAAACCTGGGCGCTGGAGCCTGCCCTGCCCAGCGCCTGGGATTCCCGGGCAGAGGCCAGAGCTGGCTGGGAGCTCGGGCAGTCTTCGCCTGGCTTCTCGTCCTCCTTGGCAGGGAGCTGGGGACTCAGGGGGGCTGGTGGCTGCAGGCCCCTATCTGGGGAGTGGGCTTTAGCCTGGAGGCAGGACGGCACCGAGGTCAGGTGCTTATGCAGTTCTGTACAACTCCGGCTCTGAGACTGCATTGTGGGAGCCTTCTTGTCTTGAGTGCTGTCCATCTAGAGTGGGAAAGAGACCAGGGTGAGGAGGGAGGCCCATATTGCTCCTCCTTTCTACAGCCACTGGCCAGGCCCAGCATGTCTCACCTGGATCATCAAAATTGTCAGGTTTCATTCACTGTATCCCCAGCTTCCAGCACAGAGCCTGGCACCCGGCAGCACGCAGGCCACGAGGAATGCAGGAATGACCAGCCTCCTAACATGGATTTCACCCCTTCTAGAGTCACCACAAAGCCCTGTTCTGACCATTCCTTACCCCTGCGGTACACACAGCCTTCAGTAAGAGCGCCAGAAAGGACGTTAGTGGTTGCCTGGGGCAGGCGTGGGGACAGGGATTAGCTGTAAATGGGGGCACTGGGGATCTTCCTGGGATGATGGAAATGTGCGAAAACTGGATTGTGGTCATGGCTGCACGGCTGTAAATTTACTAAAACTCACTGAATTGTCCTTTTAAAATAGGTGCCTTTTATGATATGTAAGTGGCATATCCATAAAGCTGTTTAAAAGAAAAGAAAGAGAAAAATTCAGGAGCTTCTCAGTGCCCATTAGATAAAGGGGGGCCCCTTGGCCAGGCATTCAGGGTCCTATGCAATCTGGCCCCAGCCGATGCTCTCTACAGTCTTATCTGCTCCCACTTGTCCATACAGGCCTTTCCTCCCAGGGTACCTGCCTCTTTGCTGGGGTCAGCATGGCTGTCAGTCAGGTGTGTCTCACATCCCTGGGGTGCTTCCTAGCCTCCGAGAGGGAGAAGAGCTGGCTCACCAAGGAGCTTGGCTGCTGCCAGAATGGAACACGAGGGGCATACCTTTGTTTTGGGAGGTCAGCCAGGACAAGCAGCAAGGGGACACGGGGACAGGGCCTCAACCCCCAGGGGAGCCCAAGCAAAGGACAGGTTCCTGCACAGCATCACTATCTGATTCTGGCGTAAGGGTGTGAGATTGCAGGCAACAGTCCCTGCAGGAATGTCCCAGGATAAGCGGGGAAGGGCTGAGTGCAGGCTCTGAGTAACAGGAATGCTGGGAAATCACCTCTGAAACCTCTCCTTGGAAGTCTCAGAAGATGGAGCCCAAGGAGGAAAGGCTTGGTTCCTGGGTTATTCATGACAGAACTTTTAACTCCCTAATAGCTCCCCCTAAAAGGAATCCACACTCCTTACTGTGGTCCCCACAACCACAAGAGCTTATGTTTCAGGCTATCATCCCATTAAAGTAACCCCACTGAGGGCAAGCCACATCTTCCTTGTCTTGCGTCTAACAGGGTCCAGGCACTCTGTTAGATGCAGTGTCCACATCTAACAGAGTGCCTGGAACACAGACATATATGAAAATATTTAAGACTCTTCCTAAAACCCCCAACTGGCCTGGGTCTCAAGAAGTGCCCAGCATACCAGCTACAAGGCCATCTGTGTCGGGGCGGGGGTGGAGGGTGGCAAGGAAGGGAACTGGAAGTTGATTGAACCTGATACCCCTAACAAGAGATGGAGGTTGCACCCTCCCCCCTGCCCCCCAGAGGCCACCTGGGTGCCTGGGTGGGTTTGGGAGCATGTGTAGCAATACCTTGACACAAGGCCGCTGGCTTTTGGACCTGAGGCCTGCCTGGCGCCAGGCAGTCCCTTCCTTCTGGATGTCGGAGTTTGACGCTGGGTAGGAGGTGGCGAGCAGGAGTTTCTGCAACTGCAGGAGAAACAGAGGGGAGAGGAGCTAGGGCTGAGCCACAGCCAGGGCACATGGAGACGTTCGAGTTCGAACTGGCCTTTCGGGACTGACCACGTCCTGACCCAGGCCATCACAGGACCACAGGAAGAACACACAGGATGGGCACTTAATGACTGGAATCCATTCCCAATATATTAGTACAGAGAACAGGTTGTCTACCAACCCCAAACACACATAAGCATCCCAACAAAATGTAAAATCCTTTTCAGAGTTAATTCCCTAAGAAGAATATTTGTGACTTTGGGAAACCCAAACAGATCTTGGGTAATGTCTGCCCATTCTACTATTAAATATGATGTATATACTTTATTAGAGCTACTCTGTCTGCATCTGCTTGTAACACACACACACACACACACACATACATATGCCATCTGGAAGGTTAGCTGCCGCAATGATTCTCCGGTGTAGGATTCCAGCTAGATTCCCCTTTTGTCCTTTTAGCTTATTCATATCGCTTTATTAAAAGTGAATTTTTTTAAAAAGTAATACTTGTAAATGGTGAAAAAAATAATACCACAGATACTGATGAGTGGACAATTAGAAGCAAGTCTCCCTCCTGCCTAAGAACCCCTTTCTCCCTCCTAAAGGCAACTATTATTTACCACTTTCTTGTGACTCTATCGTGAGGTGGTCTTCAATCACACAAGAATATACACGAGGTGTGATAAAAAAATACAGTGAATGTCTACACAAAAAAATTGATTACAGTAAAAGACACATTGCCACGAATGCCGCTCAAAATACTCTCCCTCACTTTGAACACACTTATCCCCTCGTTCTTGCCACTTTCTGAAGCAGTTCTGGAAGTTCTCTTTCATGAGTGTCTTTACTTCATCCTCCATCATGACAATGCTCCGTGTCACACATCGCTTCTGGTACGGCAATTTCTGCCAAATAAAAACATTACGGTGTGTCCTCATCCACCTTATTCACCGGATCTGGCACTGTGTGACTTCTGGCTCTTCCTCAAAGTCAAAATGACCTTGAAAGGAAAATGTTTTGAATCAATTCAGGACATCGAGGCAGCCACAACAGCACAACTGAAGACACTCATGAAAGAGGACTTCCGGAACTGCTTCAGAAAGTGGCAAGAACAATGGGATAAGAGTGTTTGAAGTGAGGGGGGATATTCTGAGGGGGATTCATGGCAATGTGTCTTTTACTGTAATAATTTTTTTTTATTTAAACATTCACCATATTTTTAGATCATACCTCGTATGTACATAGCGCCTCCAGCCACCCAGCTGTTTCTACACAAGTGGAAGCACAGGACACTTAAGCTGGTCTGCCTCTTCTAAGTTTTCTGTAAAAATCGCTGAGACTCTTACATTTCTGCACCCAGAGGGCAGGTGCACAACGTATCCGAGGAAGTTGGGAGCTGAGTACACCTGAAGTCCCACCCGCGACCCTGTCACAGTCAAGGTTGAGAAAAAGTCAGAAAGTATGATGGGTTTTTGCTATAACACTGAGCGCTTCCTTGGAGGACATGCCCCCCAGTCACCCCAGCAAGGAATGCCAAAGGCCCAGGAATCAGAGAAAAGGTCACTCCACATACTCCCAGGAGCCAGAGCATTGCCTTGCCTCACCTAGTCCCCAAACCAACACACGTGTGTGTGTGTGTGTGTGTGTGATTCTCTGATGTGGACAGAAAAGTTCTGCGGATTGGAGAGAAGGTACCTGGTCTGGTACCAGCTCAGTCCCAACTCACCATGAGACCTTGGGCAAGTCCTTTCCCTCTCCGGGCCTTGGTTTCTCCATTGGCATAAAAGGGGCAGGTAGAATAAATGGCTGGATATGAACCTTTTTGACTCAGGAGTCCCTCTAAAAATACACTAGAAGCTGCTAACCTCAGAAAAACACACAGTTATGTAGTGGTCCAAAGGTCCCTATCAGTCCATTGGTGGGCCCCCCCCGGGGTCCATGACTTCAAGAACTGGGCATGTGGATAATATCTCGGGACCTTTCTAAAACTCTATCATTGACTGAAGGCCTAGAGGGTGAATTTGTTTCCTGTCTAAGGTACGGGAGGGAACAACCTGTGGCCAGCAGGGGTCACTCTGTGTCTCTCTGAGGTTTGGTCCCTCTAGAGCCCTGTACAGAAATGGCACTGAGAATTCCTCTGTTACTACCCTACCACTAATGATTATCAGCATTTATTGAGCAGCGTCTATGGGCCAGGTACTGTTCTAAGTGCTTGACATGTATTACCTACTGTATTCCTCCTAACAGCCTTTGAGAGAGGCACTATTGTTGACCCCCACCTTATAGATTAGGAGCTGAGTCAGAGAGGTTAGGGACACGCAAGCATTAGTTGGTGGGCTGGGATTCCAACTCCGGAGGTCTGATTCCAGTCTGAAAGGAAGCAGGACCCCTTCAGCAGGAACCACAACGTGGGACTGAGCATACTCATGTGTCCAGCACACGACAGGTGCTTACCAACTGGTTTACTCTGCTTTGGGGAACTTAAAGGCAGCAGAACAGACAGAAAGGCGTCATGGGCCAGGAAGCAGAAACCCTGGGTTCTGGTCTTCACTGGTACATCAACTTGCTGTGCAACCCTAGAAGAGGCCCTGTCCCCTCTGAATCTCCGTTACCCCATTGTTGGGCTTGATGGTCACTAAGGGCTTTCCCAGCTCACAACTGTCCATGACTCAAGGCGCCTCCCTAGCTCTGACAGTCTGATTTTCTGAGTCTCACCAGCACCCCCCAGGAGCCATAGCACCAAGGTGAGGAGCCCAAGACAGGGGGGTGTAGCTGGACTTCACACCCTATGACATCTCAGCTTCCAGTACCCTCAGCCTGTCAAGGACCACTGCTTTGAGCAACTCTTGAAGTCTAAACCCCTTTGAGCATCTAGTAAAAACTGAGCCTTCTCCCAGAAAGCTGTACTTCCATGTGCACGTTCCCATGTTCCACATATACTCACACAGATGACATTTAACTTTTGCTGGTGGGAATATAAACCTGTCCAAACTCTTTGGAGTGCAATCTGGAAGTATTTGTCTAAACTGAAAAATTACATATCTATAGACTCAGGAATTCCATTTCTACAAATTTGTCTACTTACATGTGGCAAAGGCCTGTACTAGGACCGTGACTACAGCATTGCAGCAATAAAGCAGTTGAAACAACATAAGTATCCACCAACCAGGGGACTGGTTAAATAAACTATATATATAGTACATCCTTACAAAGGAACACTATGCAGCCAACAAAAAGGATGAAACAGAGCTACCTGTGTTCAACTGAAAGTGTTTCCAAAACACACAGCTCACTGAGAAAAGCAAGGTTCAGAGTAGTGTATAATGTAGGCTCCCTTTTGTAGTTAAAAAGAAAAAAAAAAGTGGAAAGTCACATAACAGATCAGTAACCATGGTAACCTCCGGGGAAGGAAAAATCAATTGTGAGATGGGTAAGGAGGTTTTGCTTTTAACTGTCCACATTTCCTGCTTGAGTGTTTACTGTGTGTGTGTGTGTGTGTGTGTGTGTGTGTGTGTGTGTGAGAGAGAGAGAGAGAGAGATCTTTAGGAAAATGTTTGCATGTGATTTCAAGGGTTTACAACACAATTAAGATCAATCCACGAAATCCCAAAAAGCTTAGAGAGTACAATGAAGCCTCCGTGGCTAGTCCAGCTGTACAGGTGGGAAAGGTGAGACCCAGGGAGGCCTCTTACACCCCATGCAGGCTGTTTGTCATGAACCCCCTTGCCGGTGATGCATGGAGACTTCCGCAGGGGCTGGAGCTGGTTTCCCTACACCCACCACTCCTGTAACCAGCCACCACCATCACTTCAGCTGGAAACAGGTTCTCACCAGCGAGAGCTCGTCCACCTCGGGGGCCGGGGCCGGGGGCCTTTCCAGGGAGGGGCTGGGGGGCGCAGATGAGGGGGCAGGCGAAACTGAAGTGCAGGATGGTGCATCTCCACCGTCCAGGGCTGGGAAAGCGGCCAGACACACATCGTCTTCGGGGATGTCATCCAGGGTCTTGGTGAGCGCTGCCAGGAGGGCCTCATTCTCACTGTCAATTATCTGAAGTGAGGTGGGTGGGTGAAGCAGAGAGGGACACGGTTAGTCGATACTCTGGGCTCATCCGTCTTTGTGGTAGAAATGTGCTCTGCACACACAGCTGCACACCATCACCTGCCTGCCAAACCCTCTCGGATGCTTCCCATCAGATCCTCTCAGTATTGCTAGGATAGAAGATGTGCAGGGAATGTGTTATTGACTCCAAGAATCTCAGGAGTTTACAAGCCGGCAGCAGGTGATACTGGAAACGGCCTTGCCATGGAAGTCCCAGTCTGGGCTCTGCTGCTGCTCAGCCTGTGGCCTCAGGCACAGGGCTGCCTCTTGAGAGACATCTGTCCCCTCCATCAAGGACAGAAGCTCCATGCCACAGCTTCCTTTGTCCAACCCCTGGGATACAGCCCTGAGGCTGGTCCATGCCACTGGTGGCAACAACCCACTGCAGGTCCCACCCAGGCCCTCTGACCCTGGGGCCCAGGGAGGCAGTGGCAAGGCTGGGAGCTTTAGGGAGCGAATATGACAAAGACAACCACAGCTACCACTTCCCTGTGGGTTCCCAGGGCTTGCGCGCCTCACTCACTCATGGAGAGGTAGTGCTGTGTGGTTAAGAGTTTGGGCTCTGGAGCTGGGGTTGAATCCCAGATCCTATACTTATCAACTGTGGGTCCTTAGGCAAGTTATTTAGTTTTTTCATCTGCCAAATGGGAGAACAACAGCGCCTACTTCATAAGGTTATTGTTGAGGACTAAATGAGTTAACATATGTAAGATGTTTAGAAAATAGTGCCTGGCACATAATCAGTACTCATTACTACTGTGATGATGGTGGTGGGGGTGATGATGGTGACGATGATGGAGATGATGGTGGTGGTGGTGGCAATTTCTCCCCCGTCTCTTCCCTCTCTCCCTCCCCCTAACGCATACATGCTGAATGGCTAGTCTGTGCCTGGTGTTGTCTGGGCACCGGTGATACAGTATGCCAGGACTGGCACAGTCCCCAGCCTCATGGAGCTTAGTGAAAAAAAAAAAAAAAGAGTTAAACAAGGAAACAAACAAGATCATTTCAAAGAGTGAGAAAAGCCGGGAAGAAAATAAAAGGGAGATGTGATGGAGAATAAGAACATGGTGAAGACGTACAGGTTATTTTGGGGGTCAAAGAAGGCTGCTCTGAGCAGCTGAAACTTAAATGCAGGCTGAAAGATGAGACGGCGCCGGCCAGGCAAAGGGTGGAGGAAAGAAGACTCCATCCAGGCAGAGGGAAAAGTGAGTGCGAAGGCCTGGGATAAGGAATCTGGCCGATGAGAGGAACCGTGAATAATGCCACAGGTAAACCTCACAACAACCTCTAAGGGGGGGAAAGGGGGGGGTACTATCCTAATCTCTGTTTTGCAGTTGAGGAAACAGAGGCTCGTGGAAGTTGAGCAAGGTGTCCAGGTTCACACAACAAATCCAGTACAGAGGAAAGGCTTACCCTGAGAACACCACACTCCGATGAACCAAGACTCTTCCTTCTCTGATGGAGGGTCAGTGAGCACACTTCCGGCCCACCCAGCCCCCATGCTCAGAGGCCCAGGGGCGCAGAGACCACGCTGCTTCTAGGTGAGGTGGCGAGCGCCTCATTTAGTAAACCCTGGTTGCTGGGCCTGTTCTGACAAGAGGCGCATTCTGTCACATGATGCCTCCCCCAATCTCTTTCCCATCCCAGGTCAGGCTGTTTATCCTTTCTTCAGGAAGTTCATCTGAAATACGCATCTCGTGACGGCCTTTTGGCTGCACTAAATCTGTTCCAGGCCTTGCAGCCGGAGCAGCAGCTGAGTAATTCAAAGGGGGGACATGGGGAGAAGAGAACAAGCACACTTGTAATTTTTGGAACAGAGCTAAGAATAAAAGAAAGGTCAAAAGAAGGTTTTGGTTGGGCCTGACCCAGGCCCTGGGAATGGGGGTGCCCAAGGGCCGATCCGGGCCTATGGGCTCTGGCTCAAGAATGAAATGGGGCTCACTTGACTGCCCCCCACCCACACCCAAGGGCCAGAGTCCCCACGTCCCCAGAGCAATTTGTCAGTGACCACCCTTGGAGCTGACCTCGTCGGGCTCTGCCACCACAGGGTGATCCTGGACAAGTCGTTTCCCTCCTCTAAGCCTAGCTGCTTTTTCTGTAAAACGGGAAGCCACGATCCCTGGCCAGCCTCCCTCCAGGGTCTACTAGGAAGGCAAGCCTGGAAGCAATGATGTGCGTGTGTGCCCACGTCTAGCTCAGTGCCTCAAGCATGGGAGGCACCCAGGCAGATTTTCTGAATGGAAGAATGAATGGACCAAAACAATGAATTCTGGCCACAGGAAGAGACTGAGATTAGGGTTTCAAAGAATAAATTCTAGAGGGAAGTTATTCATTCAGAAATGAAGTCATCAGCACTGGATGGAATGAGAATTCCTTCTTTCACAGAGGGAATAGCCAATGACCCAGAGATACGATGAATTATCACCAGTATCAGCTGGATTCCCTCAGGGATCACATAGTGACCAGGGATGTAAAAACATGTGACCTAGATGCTACCACTCCCCTGATGACTAACCAGATACGGCTGTTCCTTCTACACCGGCATCTTTCTTAACACAGCCCTCCAGGCAACAGCTGCCAATCCAGCACAGGTGGCACTCGTAAGGGGACTCGCTTGCCTTTCTTTTTAGGGTGAGGGCAATGAAGGTCCAGGAAAGAGACTTGTCAAGGTCACACAGCAAGTGAGAGGAGGGGTCAAGGGCTTACTGTGTGCCAGGCACCATGCTAAAAGGAATCTAAAATGGCAGAGACCTCAAGTAGCACCCAACAAGTTGGCATACACAAAACAACTCACAAAAGGCCTCCCCGCTCTCCGCAGCGCTCCCTGAGCTGCTCCAGCTTGGGAACAGCCAGGCTGGGTTGGAGGCTCTGACCCCACCTGGAAAGAAAGGCCATGCCTGCCTGCAGCATGGTCCCGTCAGCACCCTCGGAGAAGACATCCGAGGGAGCTGTGCTACCCCTCGCCTCTTCCTGGGCCCATTAGCTCAACTCTCCCAGCTCGGCTTGGAAACCGAGTGCAAATTAATGGAGAGTTAATCAGCTGAGGAAGGGATATTAATAGACGCGGCCCCACCCCCACCCTTCCTGAGCTGATCTTAAGCTTGAGGAAAAGGAGTCTTATAAGAAATCTGATGGAAAATGCATCATTTGGGGCCTAGAGTGGCTTGAAGGAAGGACAGAATATTTAGGTTATCAGGGCTGGAAGAACACTCAGAGATCTTCCGCTGTCCAGGGGCCTTAACTGGGGTCCAGGGAACCCAGGAAATCAGTTAACCCCCTTTTGTTCCTGGGAGTTGGTCCATAGATTTCATCAGAGTCTAAAAAGACCCTATGACTCTCCCTACAACAGATTAAGACCCACTGGTTGAATCCATGTTCCTTCCTCATTCCTCACATGGAGAAACTGAGGCCCAACCAAAGGAAGCTACTCGCCCAAGGCTACAGAGCACATTGTGACAGAACAACCAAATGCCTGCTTCCTCCAAAAATACTTCCTCAGTGCCTGTTGTGGCCCTGGCCTTAGGACTCTGGGCACACACAGAAACAGAAGGCACTGCTCCTACCTCCGAAGAGTTGTCAACCCTGTAACAGTAGCTTGTTTCTTGTTTTCCCTTCTCCCAGTCTGTTTCCATAACAATAGTGCCATTTGACTGCTAGAATGCAGCTCTGACACAAGGTAGCATGGCTCCATGAGTCCTGCTGGTCAAACGAGGAAACAGCTAGTGGCAGAGGGAGGATTAGACCTTATGCTCCTGAGTCCCAGTTCAAGGGTGCAGAATGGGTCATGTCTGGTCTTTGGCAGGAAAATATTACAATCAGTGCCTTCATTCAACACATATGATTGAGTCCTTATAATGTGCAAGGGCCTCAGAGATGAACAAAATGCTTTTTGTCTGCAAGGAGCTCGAAGTCTAAAGGACACATATAGACACGCACATGTATACCTGTGCTACACACACACACACACACACACACACACACACACACACATGAGAGGAGCCCAGGAGAAGTAACTGAACAACCACCTTAGGAGGAGCCAACATGAGAGCTGGGCATTGAAGGATGTAGTCATTTGATAAAAATGTATTAAGCCCTGAGAAAGTGCTGGGCTCTGTGCAGAGCCCTGGAAACATAACAACGCACAATGTCACCATGGCCCCCATGCTCATGAGGTTCACGATGCGGGCAGGGGAGGAATCAGGCACTAATCACACAGTCATACGCACAGAGGTGTATCGGTCAGTGTGTAATGGACGGAGCTGGCCTAGTCTTGAGGGAGCAGGTGGAGAGCACAGGCCATGACAGGGAGAAGGGGCTGGGTGGGCAAAGCTCTGCCACAGTCTTAACCATCTGTGAGGATTCTGCCTTCCCTGCTGGGCTGGGGGCGCTGGGGCTGCTCCGGGCTGACTTGCATCAAAGGCTATTTCATGCACACAGTAGGACCTTGGCAGGGGCTTGCTACTGGGTCTGGCCAGCCTCTGAGGAGGTGGAGGCCTGTAGTTTCGTTGGGGATGGTGTCCACATAGCATTTAACCCCTCTCACACATCAGCCTCCACAAACTGAAAACATTTTTCTGGAAATTGGCCCCTTCTGATGGAGGGAGCAGCATAGCATAGGTCCCATTCCTGTTGTTCCCATAAAGAAGGAAGGTCACCAGCGGGAAACAGCTAGAGCCCAGCCCTGCTGACCCTCACAAAGTTAGCAGAGAGGTTGTGTAGCAGTGAGGGGAACGGTTCCTGGGTTCAAGTCTTCACGTTGACCCTTCCTAGCTTGGGCAAGTGACTTAACTTCTCTGAGCTTCACTTTCCTCCCTTGTAAAATGGGTTATTAATAGTCATTTACTTATAGGTTAGAAGAGTCTTGGGAAAAATCCAAACTCCTTACCATGGCCCATGAAATCCTGCACGACCTGGTCCATGCCTACCTCTCCATCTTTATCTTCTGGCACTTACCCCTGAGCTACGACCCTCCAGCCCTTCTGTTGCCCAACACAGCAAGCTTTCCTGCTTCCTGGCTCTGCACTTACTGCGTCCTCCACCTGGAAAGCTCTGTCCCTGCCCTTCGATCCTCATGAGGCTTCTCCTTCTCATCCTTCAGCTGCTGCATCTCCTCCTCAGAGAAGCCTTTCCTGACCGCCCCGTTTTTAGACCCTCTTCTCATCCCAGGTTGATTTCCTTCTGCGTCCCTGTCACCACAACCACTGTTTGTTTATGTTAGCTGATCTGGGCTCAATCTCCCCTCTGGACTGTCCAGTCCGCTGATGAACACAGCGCCTGACACACAGAGGGAGCACCATAACTATGTCTAGAAGGAACGATACAACCTTCAGGAGGGCTACCTGAGATGAGGCAGGGCAGAGCCGGGCTTGCAGGGGGCAGAGAAGGGGACGGCTAGACAAGAGGTGGCGCAACTCGAGAGGGCATACCTGGAAGAGCTCCGAGTCGTCAGGGCTGTACTGGCTGGGCTCGGTGTCCGAGCTCTCGGGGCACCACTGTAGCTCCCCGAAGCAGGTGGCCGAGTCGAAGTCACTGGCGTCCAGCTGGGAAAGGTCGAGCTCCGGAAAGTCAGCGCAGAGTTGCTCCTCTCCAGATCCCCCACCCTGAGGAGACAGAAAGGAAGGGGGCTGGTCAGAGCTGAGCACGGCTACACCCAAGCAGGAGCACTTGTACTCCTGCCAGCTTGGACCTCAGTACTCCTTGGCCAAGGCCTGATTTTGTCAAGTGACCAAGAAACGTAAAGTCCTGGCCCAATCTCTTGCACTTGTTGAATCTACTGGGAGCTAAGCTAGGGCCCTGGCAGTAGAATCCTGCCTGCAGCTCCCTCCCTTTCTTCTCTGCACTCCTACACATCCCTCAAGGCCCTGCCTGCATAGCACTCCTTTCCTCTTCCCAGAAACCTTTTGTTGAAAACTGTATTAGAACCTGTAAATAGAGAGCTACTCCTTTCCGTAACTGCCCCCAGCTGAAAGGGGATTTCTAGAAGGCAACAATTCCTCCATACTAAGAATGAAATAACAAAAACAGCAATAATAATGGCCGACATTAACGAGTGATTACTATGTTATAGACAAACACCCACATTCCCAGGGATTTACTAGGAATATCTGTAAAGTCTAAAATGTGGAAGACACCCCCCCCCCGCATTGGTAAACAATAGGTAAATAAAACTATAATCACCTGTATCATGGAATATTATGATACTATTAAAAGACAGATGCATACACTCTTTAAGACGTATTAAACAATAAACTAAACTGCAGAATATCAGCGGGTAGAATACTATCCCACACGCGTAAAGAGAAAAAAATCAGGCTCCACATTTTTCTGCGTAGGCTAACACATATGCAATCGCACAGGAGAAAGTCTAGATTGAAGGCTGAAAATCCACCTGACAGTGCTGGCTATGGCACAATGGAGTCATGGAGGACTCTGATAACAGCACTGACTGAAACAGTGCTTCTTAAAGTGCAGTCCCAGGAGTGGCAGTGTCAGCACCACCTGGGAATGTGTTAGAAATAGTGCAGATTCTCGGGCCTGACTGCAGGCTCCCTGAAGCAGACGGCAACCACTTTCTCCCCCTGGTCTCCCACGTTTAATGGTTTCTGCCCTGCCAATTCAGAAACTGCCCAAGCTGGGAGGCTGACACTGAAATCGAATACCACAGGCCCTGGGGTCTGGCAAACGTTATTCATGATCCCCACTCGGCTGCTGTGAAGCCTTGAGCAAGTCCCTTCACCTCTCTGAAGCTCAACAGTCTCATCTGTAAAATGGGGCGCTACCACTTGCATCATATGGTTAAGATGAAACAAAGCAATGTTATAGCCTGGCTCGGGAAGTGCTCAAGGAATGGTAGCTCACAGTAATGACAACAAATTAAAAATAATAATAATAATAAAACAACAACAGCATTTCACGGCAGGCAGAGAGGGGTGGAACTGCCTTATGGAACCAAAAAAAAAAAAAAAAGGGGGCCTATGTGACACTTAGGAGAAATAGGTTTTGGTCAGGCCTTTTCCTTAATTGTTCCCACTTACTAGGCCTCATAAATTATGAATAAATGTATATTATTAGCTCAACTTGACACAAGAAAAAGGCTTTTGTATGAATTTAGGTCAAATGTCTTAATTGGCATTTTGCAAGAATCCTGTGTGCACAAGCAGCACCAGGGCCAGCTCCTCTCAGGTGGTTGGTCCCGTTCTCAGGCCAGAGAGCATGGTGCTCAGCGAGTCTGTCTCCAGAGACACCCCCCAACCACCCGTGCCCTCCATCTGCCCAGTCTTTCTCCAACCCACATGTATTCAATAACCACAAAGACTGAGCACCGCATCGCTCTGGGCCCTGCAAACACCCTGGCCACTAGTCACCGCCCACGCAACTGCCATGGCCACAGGGACACAGGTGGGTTCTCAGCCACCTCTTGGGGGCTCCCTTGTCCTCCTTGTCCAGTGGGACTGTAGGGGTGCATCAGTCTTGCCTGCTGTAGATGGATGGCTGGTTTATTTCTGGTTTGGGGTATGACGAACAAGTCTGCACTATTTGTGTACATAAGTCTTTGTGTGGACATATGTTTTTATTTCTCTTGGGTAAATATCTAGGAGTACAATTGGTAGGCCATATGGTCAGTGTATGTGCAGCTTTATAAAAACTACAAAATTGTCCTCCAGAGCGGTTATACCACTGTACACAGCCACCAGCTGTGTGAGGCGTTCCAATTGCTCCACGCCTTCACCAGCACTTGGTATTGTCACTCATTTTAATTTTAGGCATGCGAGCGGGTGCACTCCAGCATTTATTAAATGCTATGAGCCAGGCACAGTGACATATAAGACTCTGTTCATTCCTTCACGAGTTGACACCTTAGTGGGGGAAGAAAACACATAAATATTTCATTAGAGATGGTGTTAGTGCTACGAAGGAAACAAACCGGGTGCACTGATGGAGGATAACAGAGGGAGGGGAAGCTATCTTTGAGGGGTTCAGGAATGGCTTCTGAGAGGAGGTTACATCTAAGTTGAGACTTGAAGGAGGAGCCAGGTGGAGGAAGACATGGGGAAGAAGGTTCCAGGCTGAGGGCCCAGCAAAGGCAAAGGCCCAAATGTGGACCAGAACATGACGCGCTGACCGAAGGTCAGCGAGGCTGCAGCTGGGTGAGCTGGGGGGATGTGCAAATGCCTTCGGAGACAGATCCAGGCATGGATTGTAAGGGATTTGGGGTTTACTCCAAGTATGATGTGGGTGAAGCCAGCGTAGCAGCAGGCAGAGGGCGTTAGGCCGGAGTGGCGTCCAGGAGAGAAGCAGGCAGCGGGACCAGGGAGCACCGGTGGCGGGACGGGGAGGCACCGCTTGGACACCACCGAGGGCCTGTGGAGCAGGAGGGAAAGGAGCCCAGGGACCCAGAAAGGTGAAGTTGAGATTCAAACCCAAGTCTCTTCATTCCATTCTCTGCCCAAAGAGAGACACAAAGGCGCTGGGCAGCTGAGGCCTCCCTAGTCAGCAGGGCCCCAGCAATAAGCTTTGTGGGGAGCTCTGTCTCTATGTTCCTGATCCCTCTCATCCCAGTAACTCACTGCAGCCACCTCTGTAGGACTTGCTTCTTGAGGCTTAGAAACAACTTTCTAATCAGAGTCCTAGAGCCCCAGAGCAGCCAGGAATCAGCAGCCCTGAGAGGCTGTCCGGGCAAATTACTGTGGACAGTTTGGGAGTCAAGAACCAGATAAAAGCTATGGGTAGCTTTTACGCTCTCCATAAAATATGTGTGCGTGCAATGCATATGTGCTCAAGGAATTGATACTTAACTTCTAGGCCTTCCGAGATGCAGCTTAAGAACCCCTGACTTGTTTGGTTTACCTCCTTCGTTTTGCAGATATGGAAACTGAGGCCCAAGGAGGCTAATGGATTCACTCGTGTCATCCAGCGAAGTGTCCTTCCCTTAAAATCCAAGCCACCTCCTTTAAAAACGCCCATAAAGTGGCCACGATTACTGCACTTATTGATTACCCATAGCAGCTCCACACACTCAAAGTGTATCCAGGACATAAAAATAAAAGAAACCTCAGCTCCACGGCCTTATCAATTAGGGTGAGGCCGCTCTGGCTAAAAACCTTTAAGCGCTGCATGAATAGTGATTTCTCTGGTCTTCTCTATATTTAGAGAGGCTTTTGAAGGGGTGCCTCAGGTGACCCAGTTCTCTTTGAAAGGCCTGACTTGAAGCCTTCATGTTCTGTACCAGCCGCCTTCCGCAGGCTCCGCCAGTAAAGCTGGGAGGTCACAGCACAGGACCAAGCCACTGCTGTTATTGAGCCCTTACTCTATGCCTACGCTAAACGCCTTACATGCATCTTCTCATCAGATTCTTAAAACAACCCTACAGGGCCGGTGTCACTGACCCCATGTGACTAATCAGCAAACTCAAGAGATCAAGTCACTTGCATTAGTTTGCCAGGACTGCTGTAACAAAGCGCCACAGACTGTGTGGCTTAAACTACAGACATGTATTGCCTCACTGCCCCGGAGGCCAGAAGCATGAGATCAAGGTGTCGGCAGGGCTGGCTCCTCCTGAGGCCTCTCTTGTTGGCTTGTGGATGGCTGTCTTCCCCCTGTAGCTCTTCACAAATCTTTCCTCTCTGCATGCCTGTCTCTGTCCAGATTTCTCCTTTCGATAAGGACACCAGTCATATTGCGTTAGGGCCCATCCTAATGACCTCGTTTTGACTTGATTACCTATTTAGAGACCCTATCTCCAAATGAGGTCACGTTCTGAGGTCCTGGGGGTGAAGACTCCAAAATATGGTTTTTTTTGGCGGACACAATTCAACCCATAGCACCCAAGGACCCAGAAAAGTGAACTCGAGATTCAAACCCAAGTCTCTTTTCTCCCTCCAAAGCCTGTGCCACCGTCCGGCATTCTGCTTCTGAAAGCGAGAAGGAAACGTTCGAGACCATTTATTCCCATTTACAGATGGAGAGATGGAGTTTTAGACAAGGGCTGACCAAGACCCAAGTCATATGGTAAGTTTGTGGGTGAACAGGGACAGGTCTGGGGCCAGAGATGCTGTGCTGTTCACCCGCCTTGTGTGGATGGCTCCTCAGTCCCCCCACAGCTGTGCTCATACCCTAGCTGTGGAACCCCCCTTCTAGTTGCTGAGCCTTCCTTACCCATTCCTGAAGCAATACCACACCCGATCTGAAAGGACTGTGGCTGCCCCAAGCCAGTGAGATAAATGCCCCTGGCAGTGGATTAATGGTGTTTCATCCAGATTCACGTAAGTGGCTTCATTGGAAGCCTGTGTATCTTGGTGGAAATCGATTCCCCGCTTAAGAAAGAATGCATCTTCAGGAAAAATTGGTGGCTCCACTCTCCTGACTGCAATCAGCAGATCGCCTCGCTTAGTGCCTGGCCCAGAGCACATTTTCAGAGTTCCTGAGCGGAAAGGGGGAGGAGAGGGGTGGCTGCAGTGACAGAGCTTGGGTTCTGGGTCTGTCCCTACTCACTATGCATTCTTCAGTGAGTCACCTCCCCATTCAGGTTCTCACTGACCCTCTAGGAAAGAGAAAGTCAAACAGACCACATGGACCCCTCTTTACTCAAGCATTTGATACAAATCTGTGCTTCTCTAGTTTCTGAGATCACATAGGCTTGGGGAAAATATTTAGGTAAAACTCAGCATTTAATGAATAAATAATTTACAGAGGGAGAGACAAAGGTGCAGAGAGAGAGACTGTCTTGAAATGGAAAGAGGCCTAGACAAGGAGCTGGCAAAGGGCTAGTCCCTGGATTTGTTACTAACGCTCATCCTTTGCGGTCAGGGCATAATTTTTGCTGCCTAAATTTCTATTGACCAAATGGGGAGAATATAAAGTGCCCCACCTCACGGGGTTCTTATAAAGATAAGTTCACATAGGTTGGGAGCCGAACATAAATGATGGTTATAGATACAGCACTTATAGTTCTCATTCAAGAGACATGCACAGCTATGGTTTCATTGGTACCTTTCCAAGAAGCCGGAAGTAGTCGATGGCCAGCGTTCGCATTTGACTGATGGGAAAACGAGGGCTATCAGAGATTCAATGCTTCTCAAATTTCTTTTGATCCTTCCCCTCAGTCCTAAACCTACTGGCTCTCTCACCCTGTGTTCCTCCAACCTGCACCAGCACCTGACCCTAGTGTTATCATCACACATGGTTTCTGCTGAAAGAATGATCTTGTCCTAACAGCCAAGCCGCACTGGCTCTCTTGGGCCTGCCTGGGATGGAGGGGAGCAAGACCACAACGCAGGCCTGACAGACTTCTTGACTGCCATCTTGGACACCCTAAGTACTGCCCTACCACCAGCTTGGCAACTCCTCCACTGACAAGACATCTAAGGCAAGTTTTCCCTTTTAAACTGCTGTCAGGAATGCTCAGACTGATCATGAGATCTGCTAGCGTAGCAGGTACCTGGTACTGGGGTCACCTTTCCTGCCTCCGTAACCATGGCTACCACTAACTGATCATGGCTCTACTTCCTGCTGAGCCCCAAGCCTGCTCAACACGGAGCCTTAGTAGCCACTACCAGTCAATTAGCACTGGCCTGGTCTAGACCTATGGCCTTCCTTCTAGAAAGGAAGTGAGGTAAGCATTCATGATGTCCCTGCAAGTTTGGCTGGTGCCTCACCCATTCCCCTTCTTGATGGTGGCAACCCACTGATTTTCCTTAGGGAAGCCACCCCTAGCCTCCACCCAGGAGGTCCAAGTAAGCATAATCTGGCTAATTAACGTACTTCAACCAGTGACCACAACAACTGGTTTGACTGGTTCAGGGGTGGTCCGAGTGAACACCAAGAATTTGCTGGAACATTTGGAAAAGGGGTCTCAGCTGGTTGAATTTAATTCTGGAGAGCCTAGCAGCCATCTGTGTCACTACTTAGGAAGAGCCTGTCTAAGAATAAAGCCAGTGCGGAACCAAGAAGCAGAGAGATGGATTCTGCAGATAAAAAATATTAATAATTTGAACACTTGGATCCAGCTGTGCCTGAAGCCAATCTAGTCCCTGTGCTTCACAGTTTTGTGAGCGAGTAAGTTTCCTTTCTAGATTACATGCCAGTTGGAGTTTCTGTCACCTATCAATGAAAAAGTTATGACTAATTCATCTCTTACATTTAAAAAAATAAAATAAAATCTTCCCGTTGTCTTTTAAATTTAGGAGTTCAAAACTCCTGAAGAGGCTTCTAGGAGAGCAGTGGGATGAGTAATTGGTCTTAGTTCCCACAGGAATACTTACAGCATCCTCTGAAATAAGATTTGGGAGCCCACAAACACAAAAGTTAAGCTCCACAAAAAGTAGAAAGTGGAGGGGCTCTGAGCCCAGCTTAAAAGAACAAAACACCCTGAACTTAAGAGAGAAACCAGACCATTGAAAGGCTCTCCCAACAAAACCCTCACAGCTAAACATCTCAACCTGGCATTCAAGGCCCTTTCCATGGCCCCAGGCCTGCTGAGCACAACCTTGTGATGGTGGTGATGCTCAGCTCTTTACCAAGGGGCCCCAAGCCTCAGCCATGCCGCTGCCTGCTCAGGGCTTAGCGAAAGGCGACCTGACAGAAGGTCACCAGGTCTGGGCAGAGTCGGTTCTCCAGTCCAGAGAGCAAACCATGGTTTGGTGCTCAGAACTGGGCTACAAGGCCAGACCAGAGCCAGCCAACCAGGGCAGATGGCCAATTAATTCCCAGTGACCTGGGAAGGCAGCTATGCGTGGTAGGCAGGACAACTGAGGGAATTACAGCAGGGATAAGATGGAGGAAGTTGGCGTCCCTGATGTTGTAACATGCCAAGCTGGCCCTGGGACACCTACCTCACTCAGGATGTAACAGAAGACTTGACTTGGAGCTTGTCAAACTTTCTGTCGTTTTGTGGGGCTTTCTGTTACTTGCAGACAAACCTAGTCCTAACCATGCCTTCACAGGCCTTTGGTACAACAGAAGCTCCCCAGACCAGCCTCCACCTAACCAATCGGCCAGGTTTTAACCAACACTCCCCATCTCCTCCTATAAAAGCGCCCACGATTCTCCAGAGCCTCAGAGAAGATGCTCTCGGCCATCTTCATGTCTACTCCCACCAGCCGGGTCGTTTGTTTACTCGGAGTCAGTTGTGTTGCTGCCAAACCCATTGGTTACTATAATTACAAACTTTAATTAAATGGCTCATAAACAGAAAATACGAAACAAAAAAAGCGATTTCAACTAAGTTGAAAGCTATGTGGAAGGATTCAATGAAGTTGGGTTGTTTAAAAAGAAAAACAAAAACCCTGCTGTCAAATTATGTGTCTGTGAGATCAGGAAAAGAGAAATTCGCAAGAATCTGGAATGATTCTGCCCTGAGATTGCTTGACAAGAACCTAAACACTTGATCCCACAGGATGAATCCGCATTCTGGAACTAGGAGCTATGCAGAGAGATGACCCGGAAATTCCAGTGCTGGCCCCACATGCAGTCCTACAAGCAACAGACTGGCAAAAATGAGTGAACGTATCCTATGGCTTCATTAAAAGATAATGTTAGGTATTATGTTTGATGACTTTGTGCTTTCACTGATACTTTCCTAGGAATTCCCCTCTGTAGCCCTCCATCCCCAGCTACAGTTCCCACTCTCGTCAGATAAGATAACTATTATATATAGATTCCCACCTCCGTGGCACAGGAAATAAATCCTTACAGTGGACTGCCAAACCGCAGAACCAGGGGTCGGAGCACTGGAAGAGTCTGCAGAAAGACTTCTAGAGGTTAATTAACGCCTTATTTTGCAGATGGAAAGAGTGAACGAGATGTCACCAAGATGCACACAGCCAGCTCCTGGCAGGGCCAGGACACAAACTGGGATCTCCAGGGCCCCCGTCCAATCCAAAGCTCTTTCCAAAATGACAGGCCACTTCCTCAACAGCTGTGGCCGGTACACCAAAAATTTTGCATTCGATCCTTCCCCCTTTAAAAGGCAAGGGAAAGAAAGAAAAGAAAGTCTCCGGAGGGGGGGGGTCTCCTTTCCCCACTCCCTGTTGTCTACAAGCAGCCCCTTATCCAACGGAGATCTGTAAAGTCTCTTGTAGCTGTGCCTGGGTCAAGTTACTTAGGATGGAGCCGCTCCTGGATGTCCTGGCAGGGGGCTGTGCAGAGTGCAGAGTCTGGCTCCCCTCCCCGGGGGCTGAGATCTCAGAGGGAGCCCTCAGCGATGCCCCCTACCCACTGCAGATTCTGGCACCTGTTGGGAGCTGCTTTTCAGCAGGCACAGGCTGCCCTAGGCCTGGAAGATGGTATGTGTTTCGTTTTTGATTTTGCAACAATAAAAGCTTGAAGTATATGCTCTGACACAATCAAGCAAGAGAGCAAAGGTGTTTTTTTAGGGGCAGCGTGATACCCACCATTGTGTTTGCCTGCAGTTGCAGTCCATTTTATGCACTTGAATTCAAAGGGCAGTGGCAGGAAACGCACTTGGTAAACTGCAAAGACGGCGCAGGTATCCGTTGTTAAGCTTCGCTGAGGCAGAGCTGGCCCTGGCTCATCCCTTGCTAGTTACAGGGAGTCACCTAGCCTCTTTGCATCTCCAGAGACCAGCTCCCTCATGGACTGTTGTACAGCTTGAGTTTCCAGCCCAGGGCCTCGGTGCTGGCAGCTCCCTGGGCCTAGAATGCCGCCTCTTTCTTTCATCTTTGCATGGCTGGTCCCTTCTTATCACCTCCATCCCAGATTAAGTGTCTCTCCTAGATGGGCCTTCCTGACCACTGTATCCTAAAGGGGCCACCTCATCTCTCTTACCCATCACCCTGCTGTAATTCCCTCAATTAGTACTTCTAATTCTATTTCCCAGTATTTTAAACAATGATCGTAAAATATACATAACAGAACATTTACCATTTTAACCATTGTTAAATGTGCAATTCAGCAGCATTAAGTATATTGACATTGTTGTGCAACCATCACCACCATCCATCTCCCCAGTTCCTCCCCATTTTTCATTTA